TAGAAAGGAGGTTATGAACATCGTCCTCATGCTACACATCCAAAGGCAACAGACTCATCCTAATGCCAACCACATTCTCCAATCTTCCTTCCTACTATGTCTCTATTTGAAAAGCCTCAAAAAATGGCTACAGAAAATAGAAAGATTATTAAAAATTTTTATGGAAAGATGGCTCATTTCTAGTTCGATGGAATACCATAAATCTCAAGATTGAAAAGGGAGGTCTTGACCTATATTCGACCAAGTTGAAGAACAGAGCCCTCTTCGCTAAAGGAGCTGGAAATATTACCATGGACGTACCGCCTTGTGGAGAAATCTGATAAAGGCTAAATAGGCTCCCACATCATGCACAAATCGGTACCCCCACCTTCTGCATAGGGTTGTGGAAGTTTATAGAACAACATCAAAACCTTATCGCCAACCACATTAGCTGTAGGGTGGATGATGGAGGAAACACATCTTTCTTGACTGATCCTTGGATTAACAACACCGTGCTAGCTTTGCGGTATCCTTTTTTGTATAGGCTCTTTTACTGCAAGGCAGTTACGATCAAGGAAACATGTAAAAATGTCAACAAATTCAGGGATCTGCAGCTTTGTAGGAAATTTAAAGGATAACGGAGCTATTGTGAATGTGCTGAATTAAGCCTTGGCCTTGTCCCAATTGTGTAGTCTCAAGAAGCTGACTCGTTGAAATAACTTCCTAGTGTTGACGGAGTCTTCTCTACAAAATCTTTGATGATGGATATGGGTGAAAAAGACCGAAGCCATGAACTCCAAACTAGCGAAGTCAAAATGGAAAGGAAATCACCCTAAAAAGGTAAACTTTTTCACTTGGGAAATGGTGTACAAAGCCATTAGCACAATGAAAATGTACAAAAAAAAAAAAAGAAAAAAAAAAGAAAAAAAAAAGAAAAAGAAAAAATAGCCCTACATGACTCTTCTTTCTCTCTAAAGGGTGCCAAAAAGGCAACAAGTCTAAAAATCACTTATTTATGCAGTGTATGTATGCTTATAACTTTTGGATAAAAATTCTCAATCACCTCATTTTTTCTAGAGAGATAGAGTTATTAGACATGCTTTTAAACTTCATTATGACTTTCTCTGGAAATTTATGGAAGAGAGAAATCAAAGAGTATTCATGGAGTAGACACAATCTCATACTGGTCTATTACTTTAGCTTTTTATAATCATATCTCCCTCATGATAAATTGGGAAGTTATTTGGGAAGGCCTTTTGTAAGTATCGTGGATAACACATCCATTTTGTAAATTTCAAATATCAATTAAATTGTCTCTTATCTAAAAAAAAAAAAAGTTTAGACGGTTTTATTCTTTGCAGACTCAAGAAAAGGTTTTCTTATGCGGTAAAGAAAGGAGAAGATTTATTACAGAAAAGGAAATATAATAGGATTAGTAACCTCTCTTAATATACACGAAGTGTATAGAGAATGAAACAAGAAGGAAAAAGGAATTCTAAACTTATAATTATCTGGTAACCAAAGCCCATAAGCTTAGTTGAGCTCCGTTTCAGATGTCCAGCCTCCAGTTCTGTTGTTGCTTCCTAACATGGATTGCAGCTTAGAGAAAAAAAAGCTATAAAATTCTTCTTGGTGTACCCTAATGCAGGATATAGTTTTGGTTAATTTGTGTTGATGCAATCCAAGTGCCTTGATATTTTGTTTTGGTTCTTTGAGTTGTGTTTCTTACTGTTGAGATTATTGTGAAATTTAGAGTTTCCGTACATAGCTTATGTAATTTTTAGCACAAATGTATGCCCAGAAATTACTCAACCTTCCCATTCTTTATTCATTATTTGACATGCAGAGAATTGTCTGGCAAACCTTTTCCAGACACTGATGTGCTTTATTGATTTACTTGTGTGTGCGTGTTTGGGACAAGAAACATGAATTTTCTCATTTTGTTGTGCAATTTACCAAAAACTGATTGGTTGTGCACTATTGATTTATGTTACCAGGTTGTTCATTTTCGATCCATAGAGAAGCCTAAGGAAGATGATTTTTGTCTGGAAATGTAAGTGGTATAGATTATTTATGACCGTGATAGCAATTATAAATTGCATACCACTTGAATCAATTTGTAATGAAATGTCTTGTGACAGACTGTAGTTGTTACTATATTGTCTCTTTATTGCATTTTCTTGATTTTTGTAGGTCAAAACTTTATACGTATGATGATGTAGTGGAAAGATTAGCCCAGCAACTTGGTATAGATGATCCATCAAAAATTAGATTAACGTCACATAATTGTTACTCTCAGCAACCTAAACCTCAGCCAATCAAGTATCGTGGTGTGGAGCATTTGTCTGATATGCTGGTCCATTATAATCAGGTAATAATTCCCCATCCTCGAGAAATAAGCACTATGAGAAACAATGATATTTAATTGATGAATTATACTATGAAAGGCAAATATAATCTCCCAATCACCATTGGTGGATTACAAATAAGCACTATTAATAGTCCATGATCTAATGGCTTTGACCTAAATGGCTTATGTACAGACGTCAGATATATTATACTATGAAGTACTGGACATCCCTCTTCCGGAGTTACAAGGTCTGAAAACGCTTAAAGTAGCATTCCATCATGCAACTAAGGATGAAGTGAGTATATACTACAATAGTGATTGAATTCTATATCTAAAATATGTTAAAATAGAAGTGTTTACATATGTATTTCTTGCGTGCTTATTTGCATGCATTTGGGTCTCTGCATGTGCTTGACAGTGTGTTCAACCTTTTCCCCTTACAATTATATTCCATGTTATCAGGTTGTTATTCATACAATAAGATTGCCGAAACAGAGCACTGTAGCAGATGTGATTAATGATCTTAAAACAAAGGTACTTGTTTCTTAACTTCTTTTAATCCAAATCTTTTGTGGGTTGTGTGATGTGTCATATGTGCGACATTGATAGAGTGTACATGCATCTATTTTGTGCCATTTTGTCCGTGTATTTTTCTTTTTACTTACATTTCTTTTATGAATAGGTTGAATTATCTCATTCAGAGGCAGAGCTCAGATTGCTTGAAGTTTTCTATCATAAGATCTACAAGGTGTGACCGTGAGAGGTCTTTGCATGGCTATTGCTTTATATCACTCATTGTTTTTAATTTTGATTCTGCTAATAAGTTTCTACAAAAAAGATTTTTTTTTCATTTAATAAAATTAGGACCTTGTCCCTTTATTGGACATTGCTGACGAACATCCTATATCCCTCTTCATAGTTTAATTCTGTCATCCGCTGATACAGGTGTTTCCTCCTAACGAAAAGATTGAGAACATTAATGATCAATATTGGACTTTACGGGCAGAAGAGGTGCATATCTTATGCAAGGAATTTTCTTAGTTTTTTAAAAATGTAAACTCTCTAATCACATAGTTTCGTCCTCCTGTTCACAGATTCCAGAAGAAGAAAAAAACCTTGGTCCAAATGATCGCCTAATTCATGTTTACCATTTCACTAAAGACACCACTCAGAATCAGATGGTTAGTATGAAGCAGTATCCTTGTCCAAATGATTTTCATTTGATGATGTTTGGATATTCAGTATTTCAAGCAAATAGGATGGATGCTGGATTTAAATAACCCCTTTTAATGACTACGGTGTTTCCTTTGTTATCTATAGCAAATTCAGAACTTCGGCGAACCTTTTTTCTTAGTCATAAATGAGGGAGAGACTTTGGCCGACATTAAATTGAGAATACAGAAGAAGTTACAGGTTCCAGATGAGGAATTTGCGAAGGTATTTGTTAGGTTTTTTCTTCGTATTGTGGTCTGTACTTCGGTAGTTGTTATTAATGAAGTTTGTAAACCCATTGATATTACTGAGACAGACAAATAAATATCCGAAGCAATTTCATTTAATCTAACTGTGTTTTGTTGTTTATGTTGTCAGTGGAAATTTGCATTTCTCTCACTAGGTCGTCCAGAGTACCTCCAAGATACAGACATCGTTTCAAATCGTTTTCAGGTTTGTCTGGAACTTTATTTTATTCCAGTTACTCTCCGCATTGTGATAGCATTCTGAATACAGTCCTGTTCATATGCTTTAGAGAAGAGATGTTTATGGTGCATGGGAGCAATATCTTGGACTGGAGCACACTGACAATGCGCCCAAACGGGCTTATACAGCAAATCAGGTAAAACGAGCTTATACATCTTTCTTTGCTGAAAGCTGATCAAACAAAAATGTGGCTATCATTTGCTGTGGTCTTAACTGAATGAAACATTTATGCAGAATCGTCATACATTTGAGAAGCCAGTAAAAATCTACAATTAGAAAAGACAGGACAAGACATGGACTTGACTGGGTTGTTTGTTGTGTCTTCATAGCATTAGATGAGTTGGGAAAAATCTACCACGTGTTTGGTCGTTAAAACGAGCAAAGGATTGGTGAGCAGTTCAAGTAAAAGCTGGCATAGAGTATTATATTGGTAGCAGGATTCCATTTTGATTCTGTTGGCCATTTATTCTCTAGCAACAAAATGGTTGGGGGAAGGACTTTTTCTTCAAATAGATGTGTTTTGTTTTCAGTGTCTCAACCACCTCAATCCCCCTGATCTTGTTATTACAGACGGAGAGGTTTCACCCTCTTCCTCTTCCCTTATCCTTTGACCATGAAGAGAAAAGGCCCTCCCTCAGCATCAGTTGAGTTGTAATCTAGTTTATAAACAAGATTTTTTTGACTAGTAGTTGAATATGTACACAAAGAAGTATAGTTGGGGACCTGAAATATTGTTATTGTTATTATCATTTTTTCTTTTTCTTTTTGGGCTGTTTGTTTCCTGATTTTTGGTGGTTTAGTCAGATGCGTTATGGTAGTAGTTGTAACTGAACTTGTCGGGGCTTGTGTGTATGCATTACTTGGTCATCCAGGTATTTCATTCTCAAAAAGGTGTCTACACGGATATATTGTCTTTACTATTTTTTAGCAGTAAAGAGTTTGGGAGGTGTTTTGCCTTGGTGTTCTTGGCTGCCTCTCCTACACACTTCTTTTCTTTTTGGATGCTAAGTGTGACTTGTAAAATAAAAAAAAAATTCTTAAAAAAAATGAAATGATTTTTAATGCAATTTTAGTCTTCCTTTTTAAAGAATCTTTGATTCGTTTTTAGTAACAATCTGGCCGGTTATTGGCTGTGCGTGTGGCGTATCTGCATCAGCAAATTGGTTCTTTCCAGTCTGCCGGCCAACCCCGCCAGAATCCATTATCCTTCGTCTTAAACTCTTCCCTGATCCGACCTTTTCTTCTCATCTGCCATGGCCACTTCTTCCCCATTCGAAGTGGATGAGTGTCGTGGTGTCCTACGCGTCTACAGCGATGGCTCCATCGTCCGCTCTTCCAATCCAAGCTTCAACGTCCCTGTCCTCGACGACGGCTCCGTTCTATGGAAAGACCTCCTTTTTGACCCCATCAACCATCTTCACCTCCGTCTCTACAAGCCTGCTGTTTCTTCCTCTGCACTCCCCGTCTTCTTCTACATACACGGCGGCGGCTTCTGCATCGGCTCTCGCACCTGGCCCAACTGTCAGAACTACTGCTTTCGCCTCGCCTTGGAACTTCCCGCTCTCGTCATCTCCCCTGACTACCGTCTCGCTCCTGAGAATCGCCTTCCGGCTGCCATCGATGACGGCTTTTCGGCTGTCAGGTGGCTCCAAGCCCAAGCTCAATCGGACCACCCCGATCCCTGGCTCGCCGACGTGGCCGATTTTAGTAGAGTTTTCATCAGCGGTGACTCCGCCGGTGGGAACATCGCTCACCATCTTGCAGTGGGACTGGGGCTGGGTTCGCCTGCGTTTGCGCCGGTTCGAGTGAGAGGCTACGTTCTTCTGGCGCCATTCTTCGGCGGGACGGTGAGGACTCGGTCCGAAGCGGAAGGCCCCAAAGATGCCTTCCTGAATCTGGAGCTCATCGACAGGTTCGATTATACCGTTTAAGTAGTTTGAATTGTTATAAATCTAAAGTACTGAACCGCTTGTTTTTGTTTCGATTTCTGAGCAGGTTTTGGAGATTATCGATTCCGATCGGAAGCAGTACCGATCATCCGCTGGTGAACGTGTTGGGACAGTCGAGCCAAGACCTGGAGGCAGTGGAGGTGGATCCGATATTGGTAGTGGTGGGCGGCGCTGATCTGTTGAAAGATCGAGCGGTGGAGTACGCCGAGACGCTGAAAAAACAGGTGAAGAAGATAGAGTTGGTGGAGTTTGAAGGAAAACAGCACGGATTCTTCACCATTGATCCAAATTCTGAAGCTTCTAACCAATTAATGCTCCTTCTCAAGCAATTTGTGGCTCAACATTCACGCTGATTTCATCCATCCCTCTTCCCTCTGAATCTGCTCAATAAAATGTTCAAATCTCCATCCATTCGCTTCATAATTCTGCATTCTATATGAAAATTTGAAGTTCTTAGTACAGATTTCAACCTAAGATTTTCTAATAGTTCAAGAGATCTAAACCATGGAATTATGTTGGGATTTGATCGGACATTTTTGTTAGCACTTTAGCAAGAGCCAAGAACAGAGAACGTTCAAATTTTATTATAAAAAATTAAAAAAAAAAAAAACTAATTTAGAATTTTAATATTTAATATTCATTGAAAATAACATGTTAGACTACAAATTTAGAATTTGGTCTAAATTCTAATTTCAGACAACCTTGTAAATTTATTTAATTTAAAATCAACTAAATTCTAATTTCTTCCAAATTAATAACCAAATTTGATATGTAATCTAAATATTAAAATTGAATATTTAAAAAATTGAAATAAAATAATTTGATCATTAATAATATTCAAGTTCCAAACATTTCGCAATAAATAATCATTAAGAACACGTGTTACAAAAATAGGAGGCGTTAATTTATATACAAGTAGAAAGAACAAATTTGAAAAGGCGGATCTATTGGGACCGAGAATTCACACAAATTCGTGTTCTTCGTTGATTTGTAATTCTGCATCATCCATAAGCAAATTCATTCATAATTCCAACGGATCAACGGCAGCACAAGACAAAATTTTATTTAGGTAAGTTTACAGAATCTTCCGTCCGTACTTTCCGTCTCCATTCCGATTACTGTCCACAGCTTCGGTGTTGGCCTCCAATTCATACTTAGGGTTCCTATTTTGTGTTCTGATGAATGGTTGGAAAATTGGCTCGCCTTCAAATCCCCTGATCGTCCTTTTATAGCTTCATTGATTACAAGCTTGACGTAATCGAGACCGACAGAGGAGAGAATATTGTATCGAGCGAGAATGATGGATCCGGAGCTGATGAGACTGGCCCAGGAACAGATGAGTCGCATGTCCCCTGCGGACTTTGCCAAAATCCAACAACAGGTGTGGAATTTTAATCTGCTATTTTTGTTTTTCATTTAATTGTTCTTTCACAATTCAAGATTTCGATGTACATCCTGGTCGTCACTTGCTTTTATTGAAAACATTGCCGTCAGTTTCATTTTCAGCCGGTGGTAGATTTTGGTGTGACGATCTTCATCCTATCAAGGAAGTTTTTGAATTTTATAATCTATGGATATGCAGATTACTCAGCTTTACGTTGCCCCCGTTTTTCCTGTCTGCGCTTTTTCTATTTTACTGATAGGATCTGCTGTTTGTTTCCCTTTGGAGCATTTCAAAAGAATACTATCTAGAAAACTTCTAGTTGCTACGTAAAAATTATGGGATTGATTGCGTGGATTAATTGATGAGTCTGACTGAATTTAATTTGCAATTTGATTAATTCTTTCTGGATTGAACAACCCATTTGCGAACTCTGCTTGTTTAGCGTTAATTGCATATTACTAACGTCTCATGTATTTGGCCTTGTTGTGGTGTGTATACTCGTGTCCTCGTGTTACCATATGACTGAATTATTAATCTTTTTGGATAGGGAACACTTTCATTGATTAATTGAAATGTTACAAAAGATATGACCATCTGAAGGTATAATAAAAGATTTCTCATTTGATAAGAAAAAAATTTAAGCTGTAGCTGTTAAATGGAACCATGTGTTTACACCAATAAAGAGCATAAAAAAGAGACACTTCTAAGAAATGCATCGGGGGACTTCTCTGCTTCGGAATAGCCTATTAATTCCATTCCATGTCCTCAGGTGATGGCCAATCCAGACTTAATCAAGATGGCCTCAGAAAGCATGAAGGGCATACGTCCTGATGACTTGAAATATGCTGCAGAGCAGTTGAAGCACACCAGTCCAGAGGATATGGCTAAACTTAGCGAAAAGATGGCTAATGCATCACCTGAAGAGCTTGCGACGATGCATACTCGTGCTGATGCACTGGCCAACTATGAATTGAATGCAGCTGAAATGCTGAAGACACAGGTAATATTTATAGGGTTTGATTCAAACACTTCTCTGTGGAGACAATGGAGAAGTTTCCCTTTTTAATTGGTAATGCTTTATCTCTCTTTTTTTTTCCTTCTTTCCTTGGTTTCTCCCAGGCCTTCAACTTTGAGGACTTGGATGATACCCTCCTTTTGTTTTAATTTTATCTCAATTAGAAATATTATTTCTAAGTTCTTGGAGGATTCCTTATTGACCTTTTGGTTTATTTTGAACAGAACCTCCTCTACAATAAAAAAAGTTTCGTCTTTCTTATGAATAAAAAATTGACTCTATCTTATGTAAGCTAAATATTTTGTTCAAAAAATGAAAATTTGACTTGTTCAAGTGCCAATCAATTATGTAAGCTATATATTCTTTTTGCTGTATGAGTCCACTCACTTTGCTGTATAGATCTAGGGACTAGTGCTGGTACACGCAATTTCTAATTAGTTTGCTGAAGCCTTGAACATGTGAATGGCTGTTATTCCATCGGACAATTATCTGGATGCCATACAGGAAAATGGATAGAAATTCATTGTCCCCATTTCTAGGCTATTATTGTGTCCTAGATTGTCATCGTGTAACCTTGGATGAGACACAATTCCTTTATTAGGTAGGTTATTATGGTTGGAGAAAAAAGAATACATCATTTTTTTTTTGTACTCTGAAATAACACCTAGGACCAATTATTATTCTACTTCTATATCATGTGCCGTTATTATTTCTCTTCAATGATGCATTTGATTCTGTTGTGCATGTTCTGAATTTTAATTCATTATGCAGGGGAACAAGCTTCACAGTCAGGGAAGATTCAGTGATGCCTTGGAAAAATACTTACTTGTGAGTATATTATGCTCCTTAGATTGTATTCTCTCTCTTCTGAACATTCATCCGAATAAAATCTCTCATTGAGTATAAGGGAAGCTCTACCCAACTCATGAACACACTGTTTTCACATTTGAAAATTCTTAGGCTAAGAAAAACCTCAAGGGGATTTCATCTTCCAAAGGAAAAACACTTCTGTTGGCTTGCTCACTCAATTTGATGTCATGTTACTTGAAAACAAAACAGTACCAAGACTGCATAAGGGAGGGTTGTGAGGTAAGGCAGATTTTCTTTTTCCTTTTTAATATTTAAATTGTAGTTAACCATAATGATCTAATATATTGTACTCTTAGCTTTATTTTCTCTTTGCTATCATCACAGGGTAAGACCTTATATGCTCATTACTTATTACAAACATTATCAGAGTTGATGTAAATTTTAAGTTTCTAGACAGCCTATGTGATAATATATATATATATATATATATATATATATATTTATATATGCCAAATGATGTGCTCTATTCATGCACTTTTAGGAATTCACTTGATCCATGGATTGTGATTTGATAACCTTCTATTTATGAGGTGCCAGAATCCTTTTTATTCACTGGACAACTTTCAAGCCCATAACTCTGACCTCAGACTTCCATTATTATTATTATTATTATTTTGCATATGATTATTATTTCAAAGGTGGCTTTTATTCAAATGATTAATTTTTTCAATTAAAGAAAAAAGATAAGTTTTTATATCTATGATACCGAACATTTCTCTTACTGTAGGTTTTGGCCTATGATTCAAGGAATGTGAAAGCACTTTACCGGAGAGGTCAAGCATATAAAGAATTATGTCAATTTCATGTGAGTTTGGACGATGGCCTACCTTACTGTTTTTCGGATACTATACTCATCCAAATTGTATTATCTGCTGATTATTTCATGGATTTCATTTTGTTAGGATGCTGTTTCTGATTTGAGCAAGGCACGTGAAATTTCTCCTGATGATGAAACTATTGCTGATGTTTTATCGTGAGTTATTTTTCCCCATTATTTCATGCCACCTGTCTAATTGAATTTGCCAGCCAGCCTTTATGTGTTTTCTCATAGTGTTTTGTGAGAAGTTTGACTAGGAGTTTACCGCCTGTTTTTCCATTTGTCATCCATTGTATCACATGTTATCAAGTGGCTTGTTCCATTGCTCTGATATATTCTGTGGAGCTTATTGTTGCAACAGGGATGCCAAGGAAAGATTAAAAGAACACGATGTGGGGAATTTATGCAAAGGTATATCCTTTTTGCTCTATTTAGTTAATTATTTTCTCCACTGTATTTTCTGTAGTGTGACAGTGGTGGGATGAAAAATTACGTAGAGATTGAATTTGACATTAAGTTTCTAACTAATTTCATAGGAATTGTCATCGAAGAAATTGTCGAAGAAGACGACCTTACATCTAAGAACATATCTGCACCAAGACCACAAGGAGTTGTTGACAATTCTAAGGCTGCTGATGTCTACCAGAATATTGTAAATGCAGAGAGTTTGCAGGAATTAAAAGATGACCCAGAAGCTATCAGGTCTGCATGTTTTCGTCTGGATTTTTTTGACTTAATTGTTTGATAGTAGGTGCTCAGCAAATCATTGAAGTTTTCGAGATTCTAATAATTTGGTGATTCTTTTTTATACAAAAAAAAAAAAAAAAAAAAAAAAAAAAAAAAAAAAAAAAAAAAAAAAAAAAAAAAAAAAAAAAAAAAAAAAAAAAAAAAAAAAAAAAAAAAAAAAAAAAAAAAAAAAAAANATTCTTTTTTAAAAAAAAAAAAAAAAAAAAAAAAAAAAAAAAACGTTTCTTGGGTCGCTCGACTTAATAGGTGTTGAACTTCGTTATCTTCTGCATGCCCTATTTTTTCCATTTACTGGGAAATCTGGAAAATTAGTCGGAGAGTGTTATTAATTATCGGTCATTGTTTTTATTCCTATGCTTGCTTATAGATCATTTCAGAGATTTGTTTCAAATGCTGATCCCAATACTCTAGCTGCAATGAGCTTTGGGAAACCTGGAGAGGTATCTCCAGACATGATTGCCACTGCCTCAAATATGATCAGCAAGATGTCTCCAGATGAACTTCAAGAGGTTCTTAAATTGGCTTCTTCTTTCCAAGAGGCAAATCCCCTCAAGGGAAACGGTTTTGGTCCAAATTTGGATAATCCAAACATGACTCCTGAATTAGTCAATACAGCTAGTCGTATAATGAGTAGTATGCCACCTGATGACGTACAAAAGATGTTTGAAATTGCATCATCTTTGAAAAGGAGTGACAACATACCAGATTCTGATACTCGATCAAATTATTTTGAGAGTCACCAATCCAATATCAGCGGAAGTAGTAATATGAACAACACTAGTTCTTATGGAGCGGTTTCAAATTGTTCTTCCAACTCAACTATTCCAACCTCTTCTGATATGCAAGAACAAATGCGAAATCAAATGAAAAATCCGGCCATGCAGCAGGTTTGTAAATCTCAGCCACTAAAAATAATATAATATCTGAATAGTAACACATTAGAAGTTGTTTCATCTTTTATTAGTTTAATTGTTTGAGTTCATTGATGCGATTGATTATGCTACATGAAGTCAAGGTGAGAGGCTCTCTCATTTTTGGTAATGAACAAGGCATGACATGCCTCCAAGAAAGCTGCTGCTTTTCAGAAGATATTGTACGGCAACCTTTGTGCAAATGGTTTCTTTTGATTGTTTTCCAGGCATAAACTGAATACAGAAAAAGTTAATCTAGAAGGAAATGTTGAGGGGATGGTGACTTTTGTAGGATGAGATAGGGGATTTACCTACTTACCATTGTTGGATAGTACGTGATGTTAGAAGCTTCCATGTTTCCTTGATAGATACTTTGCTCAGTCTTAATGGGATCCGTTCTGTTAATCCTGTTAGATGTTCACATCAATGATAAAGAATATGAGTCCAGAAATGATGGCAAACATGAGCGAACAATTTGGTGTGAAGCTTTCTCCGGAGGATGCAGCAAAAGCTCAGGAAGCAATATCATCTCTCTCACCACAGGATTTGGATAAAATGGTACGTACACAAATCTTCTCTTCCTCTGCAGTTTTGATAAGAACTATTTTCTTACAAAATTCTGAATTTTTGGTTTTCCCTGAACTGATATGACTGCAGATGCGGTGGGCAGACAAGATTCAGAAAGGCGTAGAAGGTGGAAAGAAGGCAAAGAATTGGCTACTGGGACGTCCTGGTATGATCTTAGCAATATGCATGCTGATATTGGCAGTGATTCTTCATAGGTTTGGAATAGTAGGTGGCTGAGATTTACATTTTGTACCAACTACCGACTCCCTCAACTCTACTAAAATATTGGTCCAGACGAGCATCTTTTTAAATTATTAACCATTTTGTACCCCCATACCCATATGTATAAAGCAACTATGATTAGTTGAATTCTTTCAATTTATCAATTTCTTATACATATCTACTCTGATTTATGAATTAGACATCTGGAAGTAACTCTCTGAAAATGAAACTCATAGTATACTATCGTATAGGTGTGAATCAAAATGGGTATTATAAGCCTTCGTTCATTAGTTTTCATCATTAACGAAGATTCTACTTGATAATCATTTAGTGTTTTTTTTTTAAAAAAAAAAATTAAGTAAAATTACCATTTTTACTCGTTTTGTTATCTATCTTTTTTTATATAATTATAAAATTAAATGTAGGTTTTGAAAACTAAAAAATTAAATGTAGGTTTTGTGAAATGATAACAAGAAAAATAACACACACACATATATATGTTTGCATGCATTTAAAAGTCATTTTTAGAAAATTTATATCTCGACAGTTTCTTTGAAAATAGCTTTTAAATTAATTCAAATATTTCAAAGTTCTATATATTTATTCCGTTTTTTATAAAACATTTGTATATTCTAAAATCATTTAAGAAGCGAAAAGAAATCTAATTCAAAATTATTAATTTTGTTTTAAATTACTTTTAACAAAATCATTCTAAACAGATCAAAAGTATACCAGTTTTGAGGAAAGAGTTGAATAAGTAGATATAATGTTTTGTGAGTTAATGGAAGACATATAATCAACAACAAATGGAAAACAGCAACCTGACCCAAATTCATGCTATTCATTCGAGATCAACACAAGAATAGACATTCAAGGAGCTATCAATTTTTTAACCAGTTGAACTATACAAGATGACACGGAGAAAAAAATAGTTTATAGAAACATATAGTAATGGCATCAAACAAGTGACTATTTCAAATAGATAAAAGATAAAATTATATATACCCAATAGAATATAAGGAAAATAAATTCTAACATAGATGATCTACAAACACTTGGATCCGCAAGTATGTTTGGATTTGAAAGCAGTTAATGAACACAATGTATTTGATACCATGGAGGCTCTCCAAGCAATGAATCCAGCAGGCAGTTGATTAATCAATCAACACAATGTATATTTGATACCATGAAGGCTCTCCAAGCAATGAATCCAGCAACTACACTCAAATAAATAGATAGATTCAGATAACTGTTTCAGCTAAAGAGCTTTCATCATATACATTACAAGGAGATGAATGGTAGATTGGAGTTTTAAAGTAAAACCTCCGCGTACCGTAGACATGTAATCTTGTGGTTGTGGTGACTCCTCCTCCTCCTCCTCCTGCGTCACTTTTTAGGCTTCTTAAATATATTTTCCTTGTAGTATTTGAGTTCCATTATGCTTTCTCTGATATCATCCATAGCCCTATGTTTATTCTCCTTCGGTGGAGCTTTCTTCTGATCTGGAAAGGAAATGAGTTGTTGATGTATGCTCAAGTAATTCAATAACCAAATGTTGCAAGGTGAGTCTATGTTTGGTTTTATTGATCAACAGTTTACAAAAAGGCTACAGATCCCTAAGACATCATAAGCAGCTGAGAGATTTCCATTAGAAATTCTCAAAACGATTGTTACTGTTTTTTTTTAAGAAAAAAATATAGGAGGAGAGATTCAAACTTCTGACCTCATATGATCAAATATGAGGTAACTATTCTCAAGTTGGCACAATCGTCCTATGAATCAAGTAAAAGTTTGATCAAAGAGGGTAATGCCACTAAAATCTAACAAGCCTCCTAAATATCTTTCAGAGATGATATTAGATGGCTATTAACTCGAAATCCCATGAGACAATAAGTGACGTGATCAATTTAATCGCAATTGACACAAGGGTTTCTAATTTGAACAAGAATACTGGTCGAGGTTTGCAATTACAGACGAACAAGTGCGGAAATAATGTGTTTCTTATTTTTGATATGAAACAGAGAATTAAGAACAGCATGCTTGTCATTTTGCTCTAAAACCATCAACATCTTTTTACCTCTTGGAAACCAGCGAAAGCATAGAGCCTTAACACTACTGACGTCAACAAGTACGTGTGAAAAAAGTCCAGCCAAATCTGGCATGTATTTCTGAAGGGAATAAAACAGGTCGTTAGGACGAAAGACATTGCAAACCAGTATTTGTTCTCAAAAGGGGTGGAAAATATAACCACATATCAACGAAAACCATTAAGTTCATTCAATAATGCAAATAAATTAGACATATCACATATGTAAAACTTACTAAAGTGAAGATATCATTGAATATTAAATAATAAACAATTTTCATTTTCAAGATAACACGACCTTTATTTAGGACAGTGAAAGCAACAAAAAGATTCTAAAGAACAGATAACCCAGGAGAAAGCATCAAAGGCAAGCATCAAAGGCAAGCCCCAAAAAGACAAGAAACAGTTGAGTGCATAAATAAATTATATAAAAATGTATATCGACATATTGACCAAACTCAGACGTTTACTTTATATAACACAATAAATTAATTCAAACTAAAGATACAATTACGTTAAATTGTGAGAAAATAAAGAATATTGCTGTGGGACTACCTTCAAAAAAGTAAAATCCACATAGACTGAATTTCCAGCCAAATGTAGAGTATAGCTACCAACATGTTTCTTCACAAAATCTATAACCTGCAAATTACAAATGTCATTGCATAAAATTTGAGCAAAAAAAAAAAAAAAAAAAAAAAAAAAAAAAAAAAAAAAAAAAAAAAAAAAAAAAAAAAAAAAAAAAAAAAAAAAAAAAAAAAAAAAAAAAAAAAAAATATATATATATATATATATATATATATATATATATTAACCAGATTACATACACATTTATGATATTGTTGGTAATCACTAAAAAGTGTAGTTACAGATCTTTCAAAAGCCGTTCGCTATGTTTTCAACCAAGATCATTCAACTACATCCTTAGAAAAAATGTCTATTGGACATGGCTCTATGATCTAGTTTCGGAGGATTGCTGGATGGAATTGTTTCCCTAGCAGCTATGTTGCAGAAATTGATGGATTTTCTTCATCGTAAAAACAAAACCATTAAGGATGTATGGATTGTCAGTCAGTAATGATGGTTGGTTTCTCATAAAGGAAGACTTCATCAGTCTACTCTTCCTCATCATAATTTTAAAATGAGAGCATGGGTGGTGTCTGTATAGTTCTTAGAAATCTTTGGATTGAGAAAATAGAGTAGTAATCCAAAGGAATGATACGCTAAGGGATGAGCTATAGGATCCAAGCACTTTTGCACACTCTTGTATTTTATTTATTTATTATTATTATTTTGAGGCAGCTGGTCAAACTTTTTCCCCCCTATATAATTACCTAGTGGGAAGCCTTCTAATAACCGCCTGGTTGTGGTGTGCTTTCCCTCCCTTGTACAACTAATGTGCATCTGTGCTTAAACATGAAGTAAGACCTTCAAACATAAGGTCTAGGAGATAATGGTATTATGAAGAAGATGAAATAAAGATTCAAATTAACGTTGTCATTATCATTAAAACCAGATTATAGACAAGAAACGCTTATTTTTTATGTTATTTATGATTATAAGTTACCAAGTTCATTCATTGCAGGATTCTTGACCTATCTGTATTTATGATTATTTTTTGTGTGGCCGCAAGGCACCGCAAAATTTATCACAATAATACGTACATCAAATGACTTAAATTAATGAATTAAGGATACGAATAAAAAAAAACTGTATCAAGAGGGGAGGAGCCTAGCATTAATAAATTTTTACACACCTGTTTTTCAGCTTCTCGTTCACTAATTGTACTTTGTAGCACTTTTTTTGTCAATCCTGAATAACGACAGTGTTATATAACAATTTGTTTCATCCACAAGAAAAAAAGTCAGGCAGAAAGCCAGAAGCCGTGAATATACAATGAAGTGGTATATTGATTAAGCTTGTTGGTTCTTACCACTGGCTGCGTGATGACTTTGACACCATTCTCCCATTTTTTCAAGACATTCTTTTGATTGGTGAATAACTAAATGAGGACCCTGGAAACATAAAATAGAAAACGAAACAAAAAGAAGCGATGAGACTAAGGTTGCAACTTTTGAACTTCTCTTGTTTGTTTTAGGCATTTGCAAAGACTGACGCTGATATATTGAGTCAGGTTTCTTGTCAAAACTGCATTGTATTTTGTTCGATCTTATCGGAAAATATTGTGTTTCTTTTGTTACTTCATTGATGAAAGGAAATTATTGACAAACATAAATAAGATAACCAATAATGAACAGTGACAAGTATTTGTCAATGGTGTAGGGAAGTCAAAGAAGAAAATTCAATAACACAAACGAAAGGGGGCAAATGCATTCATGGAAACAATTGAATAACCAATAGCAAAGATACCTCAACCAATTTGGTCAGACTTCCATTGGTAATTATACAAGCTATCTCCAGTATTCTATCTGTTTCTACATTTAAACCTGCATAGTAAGTCAAACAGAGAAAAAATACAATTAGAAATTATGAGTTCCGCATCTTAAATAAGTAAAGGAAGGTATCGACCTAAAAAACAAGTACAAAAGTGTGGAGGATAAAGTTCTAAGGAGAAGAAGGCAAAAAAGAGATTGGAAACAGATCCCAACAGTCACATTAGCACACACAAATGGACAGTTTTAAAATTCTTTGGAAAGAAAACCCTGTTAGAGGCATTAATCTTTAATTCCCCATCCCAAATGTTTTATAGGCTGCTCTCGTCATCTTTTCAAATAGCCAGGATATTATCAACCAAGAATGGTTAGGCCTTCTTTTCTAGCCAAAGATGCTGCATGGAATGGTAAATCGTGTCAAACTCAAGTCTAACAAGAATTTTGGCTTCCACATCACTAAGAACGTGGCACTCTCATTTAATTAGGATGTAAAAAAAAAAGGAATTATAGAAAAATAGGATCATGAATGTAGTTTGACTCAAAACAGAACTTCCCTTAATTGAGAAAAGCTTGTACGGAAA